AGCCTCCCCCCCCCCCGCTGCTCCCCTCCCCTGCTGAGCCCCGCTCTTGCCAGCACTGGTTCACCAGGGAGTAAATCTTTGTTTGCAGCTACAAGGTTTCCCTGACGGAGCAAATTCTGTGCTTATCAGGAAAGATTTGCAAGCGAGGGGTTGCGACCGTCAGCCCGGAGTCGAGCCGGGCTGCGGAAGATCTGGGTGCGTTGATTTATTTCACTTTAAAAAAAAAAAAAAGGCTGTTAGATCATTAAAGCACGAGGCAAAAGCAGATTAAAGAAATCATGGAGCGACAGGCTGCTGAAAGCACAACGCATATCTGAATAAAGTTAAATATCCTGGAGATCCTCAGTGCCAACCTCTTCCAGCTGCTGATCTGCTCCTGTTTGCACGACAGACTGCGGCCGCAGACGGACCGACGGGCAGTTAGCACTCTGCTGGAGATCCCGTGCTCAGAGAGCAGCTCAAACCAAGCTGAGAGTTTCCAGGGATATATTTATCTGAGCAGACCGAGCCCCAGTACTGAGCTGCTCAAAAAAAACCCAACCAAATCCAAACAGAGTTCAGCGCTTTGTTCCAGTAAACAGGAAGGAATTTGGCTGCGAGCCCCTCGTTCTCTCCCCATCACCTTGTGATATCTGCCCCAAACCTCTCTCCATCCTTTAGTCAAGGATGCACTTAATTAAGGCCTAATTATAGCTCCTAATTCCACGCTACCCTCCTATGGAGGAAGCATACTGGAGTTGGGCACGTAGCAGAGCCTCTTTGCCCAAGGCACCCACACTTAGAGCAGTCAGATCCCACCAAGTCACAGCAGTGTTGGCCCCTCTGACCCCTGCTGACCAGAGGAGCAGCCATGGTGGCGAGGAGGTTCAGGAGCCCTCTCCTCCGTCTGGTCCCAGTACAGCTCACAAGTCTTGAAGCCGTTGAATTACTCAGCAGCCAACCCATCACCCCAGCAGTGCCAGAGACCGGGGAAGCAGAACATCACCTCCCAGTCCTCCTCCTCATTCCCCGAGCACGTTCACCCCTCCAGCCCCACACAGCCCAGGATGGAGGATCAAAGAACCCTTTCAATTGACTAGAGCAAGTGGACTTACTTAGGATAATAGTGACCGTCTTGACGAGGCTGATCATGGTCTCCTTATAGCGGGGGTGGAAGCTAGTGTGCTTGGACATCCGTGTCATCTTCCTTTTGACATAGATGAAGATGTGCGTGTACACAACCACCATGATCAGGAAGATGACCAGGTTGGAGATGGCCCAGAAGGTCAGGTAGCTCCTGCTGTAGAGCGGGGCCATCCTGGAGCACTTGTCCAAGGCACATAAGCAGTGCCAGCCATAGGACGGGATGAGCCCCAGGAGCAGTGCCGTGACCCAAATACAGAAGATGAGGATCATCACACGCTGGTTGGACATTTTGCTGTGTAACTGCATCGTGAAAACAGTCTGGTGCCTTTCCACAGCGATTGCCAGCAGGTTCACCACAGAGGCTGTCAAACTGGTGTCCAGCAGGCTCTGACGGATGAACCAGGTCTTCAGGGAGAGCTCCGCTGTCCTGGGCCCCGTATGGAACATGAGGAACATGTACGCAATGCCAGCAAAGAGGTCAGCAGCTGCCAAGTTGCCCAGCAGGTAGTAGATGGGGTAGTGGAAACGCCGGTTGATGACGATGGCGGTGATGACCAGCAGGTTGGTCAGGAGCACGATGACACTCACCGTCAGGCCCAGGGCAACCACCAGGACATCCTTCGTCCTCCAGTACGTGGTCAGCTCTTTGCGGCTGTTGTTGTAGAAGAACCCCACAGTCTCATTGTAAAAACAGTGCTTCATCGCTGCTGTCCTGGAGGGACGAGAGTATCGTTAGCTTGTCGGGCCTGCACACACGCAATTATTACAAGCTGGGGAGATGCTGAGCAGCACGATAATGCCTTTGACACAGATGGATGCGGGGAGGAGCTTGAAACACACAGAAACCACCACAAATGCAACAGGAAACCACTTGTGTACTTGAGATAGAGCTACACATCTCACAGGCCAAGTCCTCATCTGTCCTCAAAGCCATCCCCAGGATGCAGCAAGACCTTGAACATCCATGGGAGGAGATAAGCTTTGCCAGATCTGATAAGAGCGTCCCCCTGTCTGGCCCATGCAGCTTCACAGGGATGACAGACAAAACTATTTTTGTTGCCCCAGATGTCCTACATCAGAAATGTAAAAACAAAGCAGCAGCAAAGAAGGTTTATCAGTCAATCACCAAACACCACTCTGATGAAGACCACGAGCCAGCTGCAGTCCCCAGGACCACTGCTTCTGGTTCAGTCAGCACACGCATCTCGTCCTTCCCGAGTCGTTTTGTTGCATAAAGGATAACGCAACGCACGGCCGCTTCACGCACAGTTCTCCCCGATCCTTCCAGAACAGGCGAGTACTTCCCAAACTCTGCCAAGGGGCAAAGAGCACGTGGAGCTGGGCAGAAACAAACTCCTCAGCCCAAAAAAGCTAACAGTAGCAAGAAGTCAGCACACACAACCATGGGGCTGCGTCTCTGGAAGAGCTGGATCATCTGCAACCGCTGCAGCACTTCCAGGCTACCCAGCAGTGCGTGAGTAAGCGCCCAGAGTATCACCTTCAGCTTCAGAGCATCAACCAGCGAGCCACCTGCGCAAGCAGGGAAGCAACTCCCTTCTTTCCTTCCAGCTCTGGAACAAGGCTGCAATTCAAAACTCATTGAACTCAGTGGAAAAACTTGATAGAAAAAGATGTTCAAGCCTGAAGAAGGCCTTTTCACATTTCTTTGTCACATTGGGCACTGCTGGGAGCAAGACCAGACAAGGTGTTCCTCTGGAGCATAACATCAAGCGTTAATTTCCAAAGCCCATATATCTCTGGTCATCTAACTCCCTGTCCTGGGGACAGCCAAACAGAATCACAGAATGGTAGGGGTTGGAAGGGACCTCTGGGGGTCACCCAGTCCAACCCCCCTGCCCAAGCAGGGTCACCCAGAGCAGGCTGCACAGGACCTTGTCCAGGCGGGGCTGGAATATCTCCAGAGAAGGA